ACCTATGATGAAGGTGAAACAAATCATTGAGGTGCACGCTGGCGCGGACAAGATTGTGGTGGATAAAGCACAGTCGTACTTACGATTTGAGATTCAATTTGGACCCAAAACATGACATACTATTTGGATTACAAGCATACCCACAAATGGGCGCGTGACTTACCGATTTGCAGTGCAGATAGCTTCTTCAAAAAGTTGGTACACTACCTGGACCCAGAGGTCATTGACGAGTCGACTACAGGCGTCTTCCAGTATTGCGGAGATTCGTGAATTCACAAAAGATGCTATTCATCAGAATCACCCTGCACCCAAGACGTTGCGTGATCTATGTACACAATGTATCCAGACATTCGGCAAACCAGGCTTCCCCGTATGGAGGGAGCTGGTGGAAACACCTGCCGCGCCACGTGACCCAGGCGCGGAGCAGGACATTCCCCAGGATCCAGGCAGCGTTGCATCCGCAGCTCCAGATCAGGAAACCATGGTACGGATCATAGCCCAGCAGAAGGAAATCGACCGCGAGGAGGGTGACAACGAGTCCGCCTTGCAGGAAGAGGCTAGCCGTATCCGTACAGCAAACGTATGCCATGGTGATACTGACGACGCGGACAGCGACACGACCGAGCGCGTAGGACTGCCAGGGGGAAGATTGTCTAGGATCGAGACCGAGGGAATGAGCAGAGCGATCGCTTCCCGTCCGACCGCCGAGATCAACCGCGATGCCATCGATCAGATCGGCCGCATTCTTGCTCGTGGTCGGGACACTCGCTGGGGGTCTCGGGAGCACCTCGCGATTGACGGAGCCCCGGAAGATATTCAGCATGATCTCGCGCGATGTCGGAATTGCGGTCGCATCTTATCCCTAGGGATCGTTACAGATGAAGGTACCGTTTGTGACATCTGCTGGCAGTACATTGTTGCCGTAGGTGCTACGGGTAAAAGCACCGCTGTCGAGAGCGACCTGGCATCCCTCCAGAAGCTGACCCACTGGATCAAGACGACGCTCTCCTAGGAGGACATCACGAGGTACATGAGAGACGGAGCGCAGGTCATCATGATGGGCAAGCGCTCCGTTCCAGGCAATGAGAAAGACGTGCTGAGGAGATTGGCAAATGCTGCTAGGAAGAGGTATGAGAAGTGGGTCGCCGCTGGCTCCCCTCCTGCGCACATGTGCAGATTGATGGGCGAGCGTGAGGACGACAGACCTCTATGCCATCCCTTTGCCAACCTCATTCAGCGCTTTCTCAATGATTTGAAGTTCCACCACCAAATGACAGGCGCTCGTGTCAATAAAGGCAAGAACGCCTATACCATTGAGGACATGCGCGACGCCTGTGAAATCCTCGAGACCAGCATCAGGACTGGCCAAGCTAGTCGGAAGAAGTGGTGGTTGAACGCAGGGAGACTCGACCGAAGCACGCGGCAGGCGCGCGGACTTGTCGCGATTGCCCTTCCCAGAGGGGATGGCACCCGTGAAAGAGTCACGCAGCGCAAGCTTGCCGCGCTTGTTTCTGTTGAACCCGCCTTGGGTTCCACTGACCAGAGGGGGGCTGATTCAGGGGTGAGAACCTATCCGATCGAACCTGATACATGCTCCCAACACTCTGATGATGCCATGGAGCCACGCATGCCGCGGCACCCGCCGCCGCCGCCGCGCCCTGCTCCTGGCGACGCTGCAGGGCCCAGCGCCTCTGGCGCGCAGGACTACATGCCCGCGGGGCCGCGCGGCGCTGCAGCGCAGCGACAGGACAGCGACGGCAGCTGCAGACCTGCGACACCTCCCCACGCCAAGAGGGCGCGCGCGACGGAGGACTGCGCTACATGGTGGCGCGACAACCTGGAGGACAGCCAGTGGGGCCCCAGATACTGGAGCTCCTACATCAAATGCTGGATATACATCACGGACAACAACGACGAGTTCGCATACGTCCGCGACATCCAGTACAATGAGTGGTTTCGCCACTGGATCCCGAGGACGCCTTGGGGGACCTTCGAGACGAGCTACGTGTCGCACGATGGCCACAGGATGTGGGGCCGCGGGTTCTACGAGAGGGGCAACGCGTAGTAGAGTCGGCCGCCAGGCCCACCGCTCGAAAGGCTTGAACTACATCATTACACAAGTTCGCCTCGAGCGGTGGCTATTACATCATGTTGGGCCACTTCACCATCCAAGACAAGTGGCCACGCACGCACATATTCTTGCGATGCCCAAGGCAGCCCCCTAAGGAGCAACGCCAACGGGAGCCGCCACATACAGAATTTACACATGCAACTTTTCGCGTTTATCAACGCGACTTTGCGTCTGGCCAGACATTTGCTCTGATAGTTAGACGTGTTTCCAAACACGATCGCGTTCATCAACACGACCTCAGAATACATTTGTTTATCGTTTACTCTTTAGACTTTGCTTACATTGCGTTGAGAACGATATGACACCCAGCTCTCGACAGAGAGCTGGTGGCAACACCTGCCCCGCTTAGGCGCGGCAGCTTCTGATGTTGCTTTAACTGGCTCAGATCCTCTTTCTCCGTCCACCCGTGTCTCATTCTTCTCCGCCCTCTTCTCCGCACCGAGGGGGCGCCAAAGCGTGCTTGGCGAAGAAATAGGGGCCCTGGGTGTTCCTTCTTATCTTACCTTGCAGCTGAGGCTGTACTGATTTTGCGCTCAGCTGCCTGACAGAATTGAGGATTAGAGGAGTAAAAGGGTGACGGGATCTTTTCCTCTGTTCCCGAGTCCTACCCTCACGGGCGGGATTCGGGACGGTGGCGTGAATAGAACCCGTGTAATACCTTCGTATATACTCCTTATCCTCACCTCTCCTGCGCCTGGCCGTTTGGGCTCAGGTATTGGGGCAGATCGATCAGACCTTTGATCGTGCAGGAGGGAAAGACATCCATCTATCCCTCCTTCCCTCTACCAACGGATCAGGGGTTCTGTACCCGTGTACTTCAACCCCACTCACACCTCCTGATCGATCTATAGGAACCTCGGCAGGTGGTGGATATTGATATGTTTGGCCTTCCCGGGGCCCAAATCTGTCCACGTCCACCGCCTGATGTCCCTGAAGATGGATCCGCTAGTCCCAAGCAAATTGAGGAAGGAACAGAGAAAAGACGCGTAGTAGTTAAGTCGATTCCCTGCCCTTTTCCCCCTGTCCTGGAGGAGGGAGGCCGTGGGAAAGGGGGGAGGTATTGGGGGATTGGGGGGGTTAGGGGGAGGGGTAGGGGGGGGTGGTATGGGGGGGGGGTAGGGGGGGGGTAGTGTCAGATTACTGCTGCTCCCAGGGGTCCCAGCGGGCCCCAGAGAGGCGTCGCCCCTGTGGGTAGGAAAGACAAGGGGGACAGGGAGGGGTTCTCCTTGTGTGTGGGGGGGGGGGGGGGCAGTCCTGGTCCCAGCTCTGGCCCCTGCCCCGGCCATGGCCCCTGCCACGAGGTCCTGGGAGGGGACCCTGGGGTCCCCGGGGAGGTCCTGCCTTCAGGGTCGGCGGCGCCGGCCGCAAGGCCTTCACACTCGATCGATGCCCACCGCAGGACGAGGCCCCTGAGGGTGGGTCCCCCAGGCGCTGGTTATGGGCCCTTGCCTCGCAGCCCACGCCCTCTCCTTCCTCGCTTCCCCTCCGCGTTTTCTTGCCACGGGCCCGACACGCTCCCTGGGAAAGTGCCGGCCCCTCTCCCGCCCTCGCGCTCGGTGCATCTCCCATTGGCATCGCTCGGACGTGTGCATTTTTTCTTGGCGAGGACCGTCGAGGAGCATATTGGATCATCTAGGAGAAAAACATGCACGAAACCGTCGCATGCACGGGGAATGCACGTCCAAGCGATGGCGAGTCCCGCTCTTCCTTCTGCGTGTGCGTGGTGCCGGCTGCCCCGGAGCAGCGTCCGACGAAGGCGCGCTCCTTCGGTTCCAGTGGCTCTCGCTCCATTCTCCCAGGCTCTGATCGAGGGAGCTGCTGAAAGGAACTCTCCTCAAGTGAGTCTGGCCCACCACTCCGCCTCGTCACTGGGCGTATGATGTTCCAACCTACTTCAGCCCTGATGACCAGAAAGCATTTCGAGCGCCAGGGCAACACCGAAACTGGAGAGTTTCCGGCGTCGGGCCCTGGAAGGCGACAAAATGCCAGCGTGTCAGACAGACACTGTTTCGACATGTTTTGGGGTGCTCGACATGTTTGTTTGATGCGGTCCTGAAGTACGATGGGAACAACTTAGCACTGGGCGCAAGTCTGAGTGGCCAGGGCGAGGTGATCTTGGATCCCCGCGGCCAGGGAAGGCCCCCTCCCAGCAGCCGTTGGCGCTGCTGCGCAACAGCTTTGGCACGGGGCTGTGGCAGGTCGTGGGCCCCCGTGCAGTAAGCCCCACACCTCAAGCATTAAGTCGGGCCTGTCCCTCTACAGGAGGAATCTTCAAACATAGTCAACAAATAGTATGGGAGCGACTGTTCGAGTATATTTTGACTATTTTTGAATATGTGTTGGCTATTTTTTCCCGTCGGATATTCGCTTGTAGGGGGACGTGCCCAAACTAACTCAAGCACATCACCACAGGCAAAGAAGTCTAAATGAGTTTGGCAACATGCAGTGTGTGGGGGCTGGGGGTCACGACCTTGGCCAGTAAAGAATTCGCAGGGGGGTCGGGGCCGCACAATACCCTCTTCGGGTTCTTGCTATCAACAACCCGGCTATAATCCATTCAACGCAATTTGAACCAGTTCCACAGGCCTCGGGGCTCCGGCATCATTGTTAAGTGTCCAAAAAGCTGATTGGCTTTGGGACAGCTAGTCAAGCACACTAGACATGCCTACAGCCACAGGCATCCAACTACTCATACATAAGTTATCACTCACGCCCGACAGTCTTTTCGGCCATCTCGGGGCTCCTCCTCCTCGCTCCTCCTCCCTCCTTCTCCCCGATTATCATCATCGCTCCACCTCGCTCCTCCTCCATTTCCTCTCCCTCCTCCTCCTCCCTCCTCCTCCTCCTCCTCTTCCTCCTCCTCCTCGCTCCTCCTCCTCGCTCCTCCACCCGGCTGCTGGCGAAAGGGTCACGCGGGTGCTTGCGCAGAGTGCTGCCCGCGGCGCCCGCCCTCTCTCCGAGGTGGCTCCGCCCCGCGGCGGCTCGGCGATGGCACCGAGCTTCGGCGCCGACCGGCTCTCGACTGTGTGCCCGACGTCGACGACGCAGGGGCCGATGGGGGACTCCACAATGCCCACCTCCCTTCCTCCCTCCCCTCCCTCCCTCCCTCCCTCCCTCCCCCTCCACGTCCTCCTCCCCTTCCTATCTCTCCTCTCCTTTTCTGCCGTGCCGCCTCCCACCCCGTCCCCAGCCAGACACTTGCGGGATCGAGCGGGCGAAGGCGGGATCGGGCCCGATGCAGCCAGATTGCGACTTGGGATGTGCTGGCGCGGATTCCGAAAACCGAGAGTCACGGTTGTTTTTCACACTGGGTTTTTCCGCCTGGCTTTCTGGGTCCCCGGACCAGCGCAGGTTGATCCGGCTCGAGACGTGCCTCAGAAAGATAGGGTTTGGGGCTCCGGTCGTGATGTGTCGCGACGTTGCAATTTCGGGGGTTCGTAGAGGGGTGGTTCTCCCAAGATGGGATTAGGGAACATACCCAGTTGGATACTCACATGTCCTTCTCTCACGCTCCGTTTTGGGCGATTTTTCTCTAATCCCACATTTGCCCTTACCACCTCAATTGTAGCTCGCCCCGACTGTGTTCGCACCATCGGGTCTCGGGAGGAGGGGAGTTCACCTCCGAATGCAGGAGAAGCAGGGGGAAGGCGGAGGAAGCGGAGGAGTATTGGGAGGCAGAGGAGCACGAGGAGGAGCAGGAGGAGGAGGACGAGGAGGAGGAGGAGAAGATGAGGAAGAGGAGGAAGAGGAGGATGAGCAGCAGGAGGAGGAGGAGGAGGAGGAGGAGGAGGAGGAGAGGAGGAGGAGGAGGAGGCGGAGGAGGAGGAGGAGGAGGAGAAGGAGGAGGAGGAGTGGGCGGGACGATGAGGCAGGGTTGGGGACGCAGGCGGGCAGGTGAGGGATATGGAAGGAGAAGGAGCCAAGGGCGCCCTCGAGGGCGCGAAGATATCGCGCTTCGCGGTTAGGCTCCGATTCTTCATCCTCCTCTTCTCCCCTGGGGGGCGGCGCGAGAGCGCGAAGTTATTCGAGCTTCGCGAAGCGCGAAGCACGAAGTTGGGCGCCCTTGACGATGAGGCAGGCAGGATTGGGGACGTTGGCGGACAGATGAGGGATGTGGAAGGAGAATGAGCGCAGCGCACAGCTGTCTTTCAGCGATTGCTACCCTGCGTCTGCCCACTTCTCTTCGTCCTCGCCGCAAAGGTTAGGAACGCGCTGCCCTCGCACGCATCCTGCTGGTAATGAGTAGCCCACGTCATGCGTGCTGTAGGCGTTCAGCTGTTATATCGTTCGGTGAAGAGCATGAGAAGGGACACCAGCTGTTCTGAGCAACGAGCTGTCCTCGTTGTGAAAAGTGCAACCTGGGTGGCAGGAAACACTCTATGTGTGCCCGCAAGCCGTTGGACTGCCCGCGACCCTCGACTCTGCGCCCGAGCGCGCGCTACTCTTGCACCCGCGTGCTCCCTCAGGCCCCTGCAGGAGGTGGAGGTCACGCTGGAGAAGGGCATATCGTCGCCCCACTGCTGTTTTGCTTTCTCGGGGAAAGAGTTGACCGTTGGAGCCAGCTGGGGGGCTGAGGTGGCCCAGCAATGGTTTTGGCCAGGAGAAACTGCGGGAGAAAGGGGCCCCCTCGTCGCCATGGCCGGAAGCGGCTCGAACAATTTGTCAGTTTCGATCCTGGGAGCGGTCAGGGACCGATGTTCAGCGGATTTGCCCTCATCCCCCTTCTTGGCCGAGTTTCTCGGGCCCATCTAGCGCAGACCCCCTCCAAGGTGAAGGAAGTGAGGGGGGAAATGGAGGCCATGCAATGGTTGAGGAGGAGAAGGCGGAGGAGAATCAGGAGGAGGGGGAGGAGGGGGAGCAGCCAGGATGAGGGATGAGGGGTGATGGAGGGGGTGCCATGGGTGAAAAGGATTTGGACCGCGTGATCTACGCACATGCCATTTGAACGTTTGCGACGCTTCGGTGAAGCGCAGGTGCGTGCAGTCGGCCACGCGCAGAGGGGGGTACGTAGGGGGAGGGGGGGTTGCTCCTTAGAAGCACCCCTGCCTGTGAGGAGGCGCGGGCCTTGTCTGTCGATGTGTAGGCCCGCGCATTCTAAGAAGCAGCCTCCTTCTAAGAAGCCTCCCCACCTCCTCCTTCCCCTCAGCGCACCTCCAATGCGCAGGTCTCAGGAAGGGAAATGATGCACAGACGCAATAAGTGGTCGACACCCAGGAAAATATAGGAACATATGGGAAGTGGAGGGGAAGACGAAAACCTAGAACACATGGGATACGCATATGGGAAAATATGGGGGATCCTGGGATTCGTGTGTCTGTGTATCTATATTTATGTGTCCCTGGGCACCCTTGAATGCAGGTCGTCCGCACTGCTGAATTGCTGCCCTTTGTCCTGCGACCGTGCACTGGTGCAGGCCCTGAATATCTCCGAAGGGTTGCACCCTTTGCCGCTGGACTCCCCCCCCGTGTGGTCGCCCGCATGGCTGGCCGGCCGTGCTGGCTCACTTGCCGGCGGGCTGGGAATTCGGTGGGCTGGCTCGCTGCCTGGCTGGACGGTCGGCAGGGTTCGGAGGAGGACAAAACAGGGCTCGTTTCGATTCCTCCGAATCGATTCGATTCGATTTCGATGGCCTCCGGTTCCGATTCGACTCGGCTTTTGATTTCGATTCGGGCTCCGATTTCTCAATGGGGGCCTACTAGCCTGCCGATTCCTGCTGAGCCGACTTGTTCGGACTCGGCTGCCGATTTCCGCCAATCCGATTCATTTCGATCGCCGATTCGACTTATCGATTCGATTCTGGGGGCGCCTGGGAAACGGTACCCATGCCGCTACCCTTCGCCCCTTTTTCCCTGTTGGGGCCTCCTGGGAGGCCCTCGTCGGCACCGCTGGATTCGCCTCGAAATCCTGGACCCCCACAGGTGTGATCGCCCGCGTGGCTGGGCCAGCCGTGTTGGCTTACCCGCCCGCGGGTGCCCCTTCTTTGACATCATGCCCCTTCTTCGCAGAACGCCCCGTGTTCAAATGCGTGTGGGAAAAACCATTTCAGTGGAGTGAAGTATGCAGATTCTGGCTCGTAAAACAATCACGTATTGCGACATTTGAGTTTCGGCGCTCTGGCGCCCCCGCCGAGTTCTTCGAGGACCACCCCCCCCAGCGTACATCGGCGCTTGCTTGTCCTTGTCCTTGTACTCGTCGGCAGGCTGGGAACAAGGTCGGTTGGCTCGCTGCCTGGCTGGACGGTCGACAGGGTGACTGGCTACGGTTGGACCGAGGTTCGAAGGAGGAGAAGGGACCCATACCGCCCGTTTTCCCATTCTTGGGCCTCCAGGGAGGCCCTCGTCGCCACCGCGGCATTCGCTTCGAAATTCTGGTCAGAACCCACCCCGGGAGAGGTCTGGGGAATAGCGGTATCGGTACCTTTTGGTTTCCCCAAGGGTGGCTGGCTACGGTCGGACCGAGATATAAGATCGAGGTCGGTGCGGTGAGGGCACCCTGGTATTATTCGTGTCTGTTGGATGTTCTTTGCGCATCCTGGAGGAGGGTACCCTCCAGTAATCTTGTGGTTGGGGGGGTTTTGGCCGGCGGAAGGTACCATGTTCTTGAAGGATGTTCGTTTGTTCTAGGTCCGACCGTGCTCCTTGGCAGGGGCTGGACGGTTGGCAGGGTGGTTGGCTATTTTGTTGGCTGAAGGGCTGGTTCGCAGGCTTGTTGAACATTTCATGGCTAACCTCTTCAAAGCATGAGTCCATAGTATGAATGAAGGATCGTGGCCGTGGAAACGCGGAATTATGTTTTTGTCACAACCATCCTGTGATGGTGGGTCCTAGTTTTCAATCCGCAGCTCCGCGCTCCACTCCCTCCCGCTGCCCCCTCCCTCCTTACTATGTTCTCCGCGTGCCAATTTTCGTCACACCCCTCACACGCTTCTTCGCCCCGTATGGAGCTCCACCAGAGCCCTCATTGGGGGTGGTGTTGCATAGCGACCTCCCAGCTCATTTCCGCGCACTCCCCACGCCTTTCTTGGTCCCGCAAGAGCTCCACCGAAGCCCTCCAGGGGGTGGTATTGCATAGCGTTCGCCCGCTCATTTTTGCAAAGCAAACATTCGTTTCTTGGCCCCACATCGAGCCCAACCGAAGCCCCCATGGGGGTAGTGTTGCATAGTGCCCTTCCACTTATTTGGGCGCCTTCCCTAAACACGTTCTGCGGCCCCAGAAATGGGGAGCTGCACCGAAGCCTCCAGGGGGGTGGTGTTGCATGCGGCCCCCCGGTCATTTCAGCACACCCCTCACACGCGTCGTGTCCCCATGGGGAGCTCCAGCGAAGGCCTCAGTGGCAAGTTGTCGCATAGCGTCCCCCGCCCATTTCGACACCCGTCACTCGCGTCGTGACTCCACAGGGAGTTCTACCGACGCCCTCAGCGGCAGGGTATTGCATGCAGTTTCCCCCCGTCCATTTCGGCACGCCTCTCACGCGCTTCATGGCCCCGCAGGGATCTTGCACCGACGGCCTCGGCGTCAGGGTATCGCATGCAGTACCCTCCTCTCGCGGCGCATTGCCCATGAGGAGAGGGCCACTTCCTGCGCTGCTCGCAGCCGCTTTGGCTCGGGTCCTTCGCCAGGCTGTCCTCCAGAGCCGCCGCATCTCGGAGATTCCCAACTTATCCTCGCCCGATGCTCTCCTCGTCCTGGCTTCGTCTGACTATTCCCCCCCCTCTCTCCCACCTCGGCCGCCGCCGCCGCGGACGCCGTCTCGCCTCCCTCGCCGACGCGCCACCCTCGCCGACCGTTGCCCGACGCGGCTGGCCCGCGCGGGGTGGGTCGGGGACCCAGCGGCCAGGGTTCGGCCAGCCCCTCGGCGCCTCCCTCTGGCGGACCCCCCCCCAGGCCTGGGAGCCGCGCGGGCGCGGCCTCCGCTCCGCTCCGCTGACCATCCCTGAGGTCCTGGCGCCTCGATTTTGTTCGAAAGGGGCGTCTGCGCTTCTTTTGTTCGGGCCCCAGGACTTCTAGTGGGCCCTGGAAACAAACGACAGGGCCGATTTTGTACCGGTCCCGTTTTGCCGTTTTGATTGCCGGTTCTGATGCCGTTTTTTCCCAGTTCCGTCGCCGTTTTCTTGTCGGTTCCGGCTCCGGTTCCAATCCTGGAGCCGTTTATGTTGCCTTTGCCGGTCGCCGTTTTGTTTGGCCACAATTTTTGTATCTGCGTTGGCTCTCAGGGACTCCTGTGTGGCACGCCGGTCAGGGTCAGCATGAAGTCTGCGATTCTCGTGGCAGTAGTTCGCCCGACGTCGAAGTTTGAAGGCAGGGGGGAGCATGCGAGGCGCTTGCTCCAAGACCAAGATTATGATGGTGAACAAATGGGGCGTCCTGTCGACAGCGCTTACCGTCAGGGAGTTCATCGGCGCGCCGTCGCGATGGGCCGTCGTCCCGTTTCGGGCACGGCGCGCTTGCACAGTTCACCGAGCGCGTTTCTTTACTCGCAGAGCGCCTACGAACTCGCAAACGTCCGAGAAACACATGGCTGCTCCGAAGCAATGGATCGTGAATCCCCCGCGGCGGATCCAGGCCATTGGCGAGTAGTTACTTTGCGAGTAGTGGAACGCGCTTGTCCAACAGTGGCCTCTGGGCCTGAACATTCTCGGGCCGGGTGGGCTCCAGGGCGGGTCGGGTTCGGACAGGTGCTTCAGAACGCGGCTCGTGTCTCATCCCACGTTCCCCTCGGCCCCTCGGTAGAGTCGCGCGTGTGTTCAAGGTTGAGTAGTGGCCGACGGTAGCCCGTAATCGGCCGACGTCGAGAGATCTGCGATGTCAGAAGCCCGCGATTGTTCACGGCAAACACTCCACGCTGTGTCACAGACCATCGCCCAACCTCGGGGGTTGATAGGACCCTCGGCCTGCCACGCCGACTCGGGAGTCCACCCGTGGGTCTTCTTGTTCTGTCTTTTAGAGGGTTGGCATCGCTCTCGGACGCGTGCATGTTTTTCCCGTCGAGGACCATCGAGGAGCATCCTGGATCATCGAGCCCAGACAAGCAAACACGCACGACATCGAGACATGCGCGGGGGAAAATGGACGTCCGAGCGCTGGCGAGGAGAGGGTGCCGCAGCCGCCAGTGTGGCTAGCCTGCGCCCGCGGGGTTTGCTCCCCCCCACCCACACACACACCACCCCACCCCACCCCACCCCTTGGCGCTTGCACTGAAGGGTCTTCTGCCAAAGACGGGTCTGTCCACCCCCCTCCTCCTCCTCCTCCTCCTCCTCCTCCTCCTCCTCCTCCTCCTCCTCCTCCTCCTCCTCCTCCTCCCTCCTCTCCTCTCCTCCTCCCTCCTCCTCCCCTCCTCCTCCTCCCCCTCCTCCTCCTCCGCCTCCTCCTCCTGGGGGAACGCAGCGAGACCCCAGTTGCCCGTTCCTCGCCGAGATAGGGGAAATTGCCGGGCCGACCCGCCCACGAGCCTGCGGCCCCGCTCTCGTGGGCCTGTCGCCGATCCGTCGGCGATGCCTCGCCGATCCCAGGCCGACGTCTTCGGCAGCAAATCATGGGAGCCTTGTGTACGGTAGGTTCCTGCGACGTTGGCGTGCGCAAAAGTGTTTGACACCGCGGCGATCGTTCAGCTTTGGATCGATCGCGGCGGCCTCGATCGTTCAAGGTTGAACTCCGTCGGGTCCTGGGGCGTCACCGTGTCCCTCGGTGATTCCGCGTCGCAGAGTTCAACCTTGAACGCCTTCGCCGGCGTCGCAAGCGCGCCAACGCCGCAGGAACCTGCCGTACCCTCTCAATTCGGTCTTTCCCGTCGACTAGCGTCGAGCGTTTGGGAGTCGATGAGGTAGCCCGCCGGTTTAGCGTCGATTAGCGTCGACTGAGCCGACATGACGTCCCCCGCCCCCCCTTGAAGCCGCTCCCCCCCCCTCCCCCTCTCTCGTCCCCCCTTTCAGGCCTCCTGGCACCGCTCGGACGTGTGCCTCCTTGTTTGGGCGAGGGCCTCCGAGGCGCATCCTGGGCCACCCGGTAGCAAGCCCCAAAAAGGCACGCGCGACTCCGCCGAAACGCGAAACGTGCATGGGGCAGAGAAATTCACCGAGTGCGTTCCACCACTCGCAGAGTGCCTACTCGCAAACGTCCGAAAAAAAACACATGCCTGCTCTGATGCCATTCGTCGTAGATCCCCCGCGGCGGATCCAGGCCATTTCGCGAGTAGTTACTCTGCGAGTAGTGGAACGCGCTCGTCTAGAATTATGATGCTCCAACCTACTTAGCCTTGACCACCAGAAAGAATTTCGAGCGCCAGATAAAAGTAACGACATTCGAGGGTTTTCACGTGTCGGGCCCTGGGAGACACTCCTTCTACACTGCTTCGGCACCCTTTCGATCCTGCTCCGGGTGCTCGAAGTCATTTCTGGGATGTGGCCCTCCACGCCGGGAGCAACAGAAGTCTTCCCCATATTGGAAAATATGGGGAAGATTTCTATTTGTGTGCATTTATTTGTGACCTTGGGCCTCTTCAGAATAGTGGAGCGCGCTCGCCTAGAGATGGCCGCCCGAGCGGCGGCGAGGCCCGGGGCACGGCACGAGCCTCCGGCAGCCCGTGCCGCGCGGCGGGCCCCGGCGGCCGCGCGGGCCTCGGGGCGCCCGGGGGCCCGCGCCCGCCGCGGCCCCCCCGCGGCGGCGCGGAGGCGCCGCCCGCCGCGGTGGCGCCCCGAGCGATGGCAGCGCGCGCGCCGCCGCCGCCCCTGCCGCGCGCCGCCCCTGCCGCGCGCGCCGCCGCGCGCCCTCTCGCGGTCAGCTCGGCGTGTCCCTCTGCAGGAGGATGGCAGCAGACACAGTCCGGGGACAAATTGTTTTGAGTATGCTCGTGTTCTTTGAGGTTTGTTGTTTGACTATTTCTGTTTTTCGTCCAAGCTCAGCCTGTAGCGGGACACGCCCGACCTAACTCTCGCGCGCTTCCTCGTTTGCGGCACAGGAAGCAGTGTCTTGTGTCGGAAAAGTGGGCCTTTGCAGTGGTCCGCTCGATGTTTCGTCAGCCTTGGAAAGGATGCCAACACAAAATGCATGTGAAAAGTGTGCCCAAACACATGTGTCGTGCAATTGCGTTGATCCGTCAGAAAAGCTTTCCGCCATTCGTCCATGCAATTTCATTGAGAATCGGAAGTTGGGCGAGGGCTGGCAAATCCGTGACTGCTAAAGCGACCTTCCCGGAAGAAGGAACACACTCCCACAACAAACTCCAGCGCGCTGGGTATTAAACGGGCCCCTTCCCGGGAGGGAACGCAAACAAAAACTTCCCGGAGCTCCGCTTTGGCGGCTGCGCCCACGGGTTTGCCAGCCTTCGCCTGGCCTCTGAGCAAAGGATGCCAACACACACAATGTTTCGCCATGCCCTCCCCATGCGCCGCGCGCCGCTCGCCTCCTCGGCGCCTCGGCCCGCCGCCTCCCGCGCGCCCCCGCCCCCGCAGGTCTCTCGGCGGCAGGGCCGACTGGCCCAGCAACAGGACTGCGGGCGGCGCCTCCGGCGCCGCCCCTGGCACGCGGGCCCGGCGCGGACCCCAGAAATGCGCGCGGAGCGCCAGAAGAGTATGCTTATGGGGTGTGCTTTCTTCTTCTACCTCGGCCCCGGAGGGCGCGGGGCCTTGGGGAGGCGATCGTTCTCTCTTTTTTTTTTTCTGCGTTTTGCCGATCGGCGCGGGCCCTCGCACCCTCGCACCCTCCCCCCCCCCCATGGAGCAGGTCTTGGCGGCCTGGGGCGCCTGTCTCGGGCAGGCGGGGCCGCCCCCGCGCGGGACGCACTGCTGCAAGCAGTGGCAGTGAGCAGAGGCCCTGCGGACGTCTTCGCCGGCTCCCAGCGGCTCTCCGGCCTCGGGGATGCGCTCCAGCGGCGGCGCCTCGCCGAGGGCGCTCCTGGGGTGCCCAGGCCGTCCCGAAGGGCCACCAGAGAGCCGAGGTAAGACCCAAAAGCCACCGGGCGTCGGAGAAGGAGCAGGCCTCCTGAGAAGGCGGCGCGGCCCTCAGAAGCCCTCGCGCGCCTCTGCTTACTGCCCCATGCCGACCCGCCGAGTACACGAAAACGTTCACCTCGGAGGGGGTGGCTCCCGGTGCGCCTCCGCGCCCCGAGGCCGCGCTCTTCCCAGGCGCTCTCTTCGGCGTGCTCTGCTCTCCGCCCCTCCCCGGCACCCAGCCAACCCACAAAGGAGGGAGGAGGAGGAGGAGGAGGAGGAGGAGGAGGAGGAGGAGGAGGAGGAGGGCGAGGAGGAGGAGGGCGAGAAGGAGGAGGAGGAGGACGACTAGGAGGGGGACCCAGATCCCCTCGAGTCAAGAAAAAAACACGATGGCTTTTGCTCCGCTATTTTCGGCCTCTGATGGCCCTTGCCTGCCCTTGGGGGCCGTCAAAAACGACTCGGGATGAAAAACCGGTCCCAGGGAAGGGGTCGAGTCCTCTGCTGGGGGTCGACGTTGGGAGAACAAATCATGAGTCGGGGGTCTGGGTCCTCAGCGTACAGTCAAGCCGCATAGCTACCATGAGCAACTTTCCAAGGTTACCCCTGCATCCTTCCCCTTCGTTCCATGCTTGGCCGCTTCCGCTGGCCGCGCCCCGCTCGCAAACTGTCGACACGGCCTTCCAAGGCCCTTGCATCCTGATCGTGCGTCTTTATTATACGGGCTGATTGCACGTCCTGCGCTCTGGCGCACTAGACTCGGCCACGCGCAGAGGGGTGAAGGCTTCTGAGAAGGAGGCTGCTTCTTAGAAGGCTGCTTCATAGAAGGATTATCAGAAGGCTGCTTCTTAGATGCAGGCCGCTTCTTTGAAGGCGCGGCCCCTCTCGGTAGATGTAAGGCCGGCGCCTTCTGAGAAGCGACCTCCTTTTAAGGAGCCTCCCCCCCGCCCTCCTGAGCCCCCCCACCCGCCGCGTCGCCAGCACACGTCCCGCGCTCCAGTGCGCCGGGCACGCTGCCGCCGTCCCAGTGCGCTGATGGCGGCGCGTCGCACTTCGCCAGGGGAGGCATCTGCACCGACGGAAGTTTTGGGCGCTCCGTCTCGGGGCTGCGTAGATCGGTCGGCGCTGGGTTTCCCTGGTGGCGCTTCGGGCGCCGCCCCTTGCGCGCTCCGTGCCAGGGAGGGGGGTCCAGCGCAGACTCAGCAAATCCGAGGGGACCGTCCAAGGTTTCGTGTGTACCATCTGCCCTTCCTCTAATCATCGAATTGCGATGGGCCAGGCTGTGCGGGGAAGGATCTCAAGGAGAGGTTGCTATGCCGATCTGTTTCGTTCACCGGCGGTGGTTCCATAGCCACACGCGTGCTTTTGCGCAGCGGTTAGCAGGCTTTTTTCCAAGCAGAGTTCGCCGCCCCGCTTCAGGATATCGACCACCAAGTACGAGTGGTACAGCTTCCTTCCGAAGAACCTGGTGGAGCAGCTCCACAAGTTCTCGACGGCGGCTCTCCACGGAATACTGTTAGGGATGGGGGGGCGGCAGAGCGACGGAGGAAGAGACGGAGCAGGATGAGGTCGGGCATGTGCATCCACAGGAGGAATATTCGAGAAGATTCGAAACACAGTCCCTCCCCCTCCCCCTCCCCCTCCCATTCCTCCTCCTCCTCCTCCTCCTCCTCCTCCTCCTCCTCCTCATCTGGGGCCGACTCTTCGAACATGTTGCATTGAAGCATATGTTTCTCTTTCAGAATCCGCCTGCATGAGGACGTGTCCGACCGAAGAGTAGGAGGAGAAGGCGGTAGAGGAATACCAGACGAATGAATGCATGGATAGGGACGGGAATGAGTTTTGAGGGAGAGTGTTTGGACAAGGGATGCAGGGAGGGAGGAGGAGGCGAGGGCGAGGGGGGGAAGAAAAAGGGACGGCGAAGGATGCAGAGAGAGAGAGAGAAAGACGGAGAAACAGTTCGGATGGAGTGATCGAGAGGAAGTGGCGGAGGATGTGGGTATGTCGTCCACGCTTAGGTTCGTCCACGAGGATGTTCGTCCCTCGGCCTCGTCTTCCTCCTCTTCCCCCTCGTTCCCTCGTCGTCCTCCGGGCCGTTCCGAAGCTAGAGTGATATTGACCACTGCTTAGGATAATCTTGAACAGAGCTCAGGCAGCGAGTGTCAGGAAGGAGGGACGCCGGTTCTGGAAAAACAAATCCACGCTTAGGATAACATCCGCCGACCCCTTGTGTATGTATGTTTGATTCGCGGTGTTGTTCTGCTGGGCAGGATGGATATTAAATGGTGATGTAATTGCGGAAGCTGTCATGACAATGCGATGGCGCGAACGAGGACGACTACGTTATTCTGATGGAGGGGGCATGGCGCTGAGGGTGATGTCGACAGGTCGGGAGGATTACGATTCGAATGTGCAGATGATGCGGACTATGGTGATCATGGTGGTGATAATGGTAGTGATGATGATGATGATGATGATGATGATGATGATGATGATGATGATGATGATGATGATGATGATGATGATGCTGTTGATGGTGATGATGATGATGATGATGATGGTGATGATGATGATGATGATGATGATGGTGATTATGGTATATGCAACTGATGGTGATGAGTTTGGGTGGCTACGGCGATAAGGATACTGATCAACCTGCGGGATATTGCGCGCAAGAGTTGTGCGCGGAGAGCGCGCGTGGGAACAAACACGCAATACATGTGACCAGCCCAGATGAACGGGCGATTGTGGATCAGACGATGAATCAGCGGTGACGCATGAGGCGGACCTTCAGAGGGTTGGGCAGTGAAGGATCCGCGTTGAGGGGGTCGCGCGCGCGGAAAGAGCAGGGAATTGAACCGTTCCTGCTTCTCGAAGGCCTTTGGGGTTTTCTCGAGATCTCGTCGGGCCGTCTTCGGGGCCTGTTGGGCCATCTTGGAGCCATCTTGGGCCGTCTTGGACGCATCTTGGGGCCTCACCAGCGCCTTCTTGGACTGTCTTGGGGCGCCTGTGGGCCGTCTAGAGAGCCCCTTCGGAGGGCCCCCTTGGGCCGTTCGAGAGTGCTTTTGCAAGATACGCACTATGATGCTGCGCATTATGCCCCTCTCTCCCCCACCACCTCCACCCCATAACTTAGCGCCCACCCCCCCTCCCATGCGTAACGCGCTACCCCCCTCCCACCCCTCCCTGCAGTGCTCAACCTGCACTGCCGCAGCGCACGCGTGCACCGCGGCCTCGTGGCGAGGTCTGGTCGTAGCGCCTGCGTTGTTCTCGCAGGTTTCTGTGGTGCTCTCCGTAGCGCTCGCACGACTTCTATGCTGCTTGCATGCTTCTGTGGCGGTCGCAGGTTTGTTGCCTGTGCTCGCGGACATGCTGCGGCGCTTGCAAGCTATTGTGGCATCTGCAGGGTCCGGCATGCTGTTGCGTACACGTGTGGCGCTCGAAC